CCGTCAAGCTGTCACTACACACTCCATGTTTAAAACCGAGGCCACAGACAGAAATGTTTTCTAGTTGCATCTGTCATTCCTTTAGAGGACAGGGTTTCTTTTAAATACCCACTCATTTCATTTCCCATGCGTCCTCACAGGCGGAGACCCCCAGCTGGTTTAGGGCTACTATTGACCACGCAGCATTGACCCAACCTGCAGCGCAAGGCGTCCCCTGGCGGCTCCCGCACTCTGAGTTAGGCCATGCCCGGGGTGGGCCGCTAATTTTCCTGTGACTCTCCCACCAGGATCTCAGGCCTTGCTTCGAGGAAGCCTCCCATTCTCCCGCAGTCCAGCCCGGTCACGCCAAATCCACGGACAGGCTGCCTGACAAAGTACACTTTGCCCGCAAAAGCCGCAAGGCTGTGGGTGGACAAAAGGAAGACCGCCGGGTGCCTGGGCCTCCAAAGCCCAGAAGGCTCTGCCAGAGCGGCCAGGGATGCTCTCCCATGGCTTGAGGAGCCGTGTCCTGCCCAACATGCGCACAGACAGTCGGGGGGGGGGGGGTTGCAAAAATGCTTCCATGCTTTCGAAAGCACCCTTCCAGAGAAGGCCTCCCTTCCTATGGCACAAGACCCCGCGGTGTAGGCTTGCCCCATCTCAAAGGGGCCTTCCCAGATGCTTGCCCGCACACGGCACCTCCCCAGCCGGCGCGCTTAATTGCTGGGGCGCGTGGTGTGCTGCAGCCCAACCGGTCTCGAAGGCGCCAGACCGAGGAAGGCCCGTCCTCCCACCATTTTCTTTGACGGTCTGTCTTTTCCCTGGGTGCTTCCAACTGAAAGCACCCAAGATGGCCAACCATTGAAAAATAACCAAATTCAATGTTTAAAAGACAATTAAAAACACGCGCAAGTGGAGTGTTTGGGGTGGAGGAAGCAGATAGGGAAACCTCGCTTTCTCCCAGTACGAGATTCCAATGGAGTCATCCCATGAAGGTGGCTGGACGGAAACATAAATCCAGTCAAGGGAAGGACTTTGTTACCCAGCGCATAGTTGAACTAAATAATCCGCTCCTACAAGATGCAGTGCTGGCCACCAATTTGGACGGCTTGAAAGGGGACTGCACACGTTCAGGGAGCAAAAGGCTCTTGGTGGCCAGCGATCCCAATCCCTGCACGCTGGCTGCGGGGCACAGCGGCTGCTGGGGAGCATGGGCAAGAGGGTGCTCTGGCATGCATTTCCTGCTTGCAGGTCTCCTGTGGGCAGCTGGCTGGGCCAACGCCAGGCCAGACGGATCAGGGCCTTCCGGCGCTCTTCACAGCACAGGCTGCGAGGGGCGCAAGACAGCCTGACCCAAGGCCTGCCCGGAGGAAAATCACACACTTGGCTTGCCTCGACGAGGAGCCGCGCGGCCGTCCCGCCTTCCCGCAGATTCTGAGGGATGCCCAGCAGGCCCTTGCTGGCTGATCGAAGCAGACGGGCGAGTCGGAGGAAGCGCAGCCAGCCTGCTGGTGGGCAGAGGGTGGGCAGGGATTTCTGCCATGAAGCGTCGGCCCGAGCGTGGAGAATGGCTGCCCATCTGACAAGCAGCATGGAGCAAGAGGAGAAGGGCAGCAACTGGCTCCCTCAGTCTTCTTCCATGAAAAGAAATGAAGCAGGTGCGAAGGTACTCCTGACGTGAGAGGCCAAGGAGGAAGGAGACATGGGAAGATGCTCGGCACAGATGAAAGGCTGAGGAGGAGGGAACGCGCTCCCCGTTCCCTAAGTTGTTGTGCAGGCCAGAGAGGATGCAACCACTCAAGGGCAGCGTAAGCACACAAGTATCAAACGACCCGGGCCATAACGTGGGAAAGACCACGGGGACGTGAAACTCACAGAGAAGCAAGCCAGCCCACAACATCGGACTCTCTCACTCTCAGCCTTCCCCAGCCAGATGTGCCGGGCCACAAGCCCCAGCATCCCCAGCCAGCAACGGCCCTTCCTTGCTCTCCCTCAAGGCCTGGTGTCTGATTCCCCCCAGAGCCACACTGAAGCCTTCGTCCTCCTTGGCGGCAGGACACAGGTGGGCCCCGCCAAGGGTCTCCGGGCACTGGGCACCGCTCCGCGACGTCCCAGAGGCTCCGTCCAATGGCTGCAGAGAGTCACTATACAGGCTATTGTAGAGCGTAACTCCGTGGGCCAAGCACACACAGGAGTGGGGAATCAGGGTTTTGGGGTTTAACGGCTGAACCAGGCTCCACAGTCGGGACACTCAGGTTTGCATCCAAACAGCCAGCCTCTACAATGGCCTTCTCCAACCTGGTGCCTTCCAGATTTATTTATTTATTTGAAACATTTCTATGCCGCCCCCATCACAACAAAGCCTCGGGGTGGCTCGCAACAGACGTAAAAATACAATCAATAATTTAAAAACTGGTACCATCTCGGCTATATATTAAAATCTATAAATACAATAATAATAAATTAACAGCTAAAATAACTTTTAAATAAAAGGGTCTTCGCCTGGTGCCGAAAAGCGAATAAAGATTCGCTTTTCCAACAAGCCCGCCCGGCCCGGCCCGGCCCGGCCCGGCACACAGGTGGAGGAAGGCCTCCGCGTAGCGTCATACACAAACTCTAAATAAAGGAAGAAATGGAAGACGCACCGTGACGCAAGATTAGGGAAAGTGGGTAGAGCGGAGCAGAAGATGTGGTAGGAAGCCATTCTCCGCTGAACATCTGTCTTGTATCATTTTAAAATAATAAATAAGACGTTATTTTAAAGCAACTGTTTACTGCCCCACTGAATGGTATCACCATTTTGGAATGAAACACATGGCAACCATCGTGTTTCCTCCTAACAGATAAACTAGCAAACCTCCAGGCCTCTGGGCAGGGGAGATCGGCCTGACACACGCGGCCAGTGACCGGAGAAGCCTTGGTGACCCACACAGAGGGGAGAGTCCAGGGCTACCTGCAGCCAGGTATTTCCACATGCAGAGCATTAAGAAGCACCTTGCTGGATCAGACCCAAGTCCCGGGTAGCCCAGCGTTTTGCTTCGAACGACTGTTGTTGCGGTTACACTGCATTTCTACCCTGCCCTTTCCCTGTTGTGAGGAAGCCAAGGCAGTTTGCGTAGCTCCATTTTAGCCTCACAACAACCCTGCAAAGTAGGCTGGGCTGAGCATGAATGGCTGGCCCAGAGTAACTCAGAATGAGCTTCAGGGTCAAGCGGGGGACCAGAACCCAGAACGTTCAGGTCTGCAGGTCCAATGCCCTAAGCAACACACCACACGGTCGGTCGGTCGGTTTCTGACTGTCTGTCTGTCACACACACAGTTAGCAATCAAAAGACTCTGGAGAAGCCCACAAACAAGACATGAAGTTGACAGCCTTCTCCCATCGCAAGCAGCCCCAGGTAGCCTGCCTCTGCATCTGGAGGGTCTACCTAGCCATCGTGACTCGTGCCATGAGCAGACCCAGCCGCCTCCACGCAGTTTCACAGGCACGGCCGTGGGCACCTGTGGGCAGCCCTGATCCCACACCTCCGTTGTCCATGTCAAGACAGTGCCAGGGACACTCACAGGGCTGGGGGGGAGAGCTCCTCACGCAGACTTTGGAGCACGAACTCGCCGCTTTCCCGAGGCGGGGGCACGCAGGACCCCGAAAAGCAGCCCACCCTGCAGTGAGCCACAGAAACCGTTCTTGAGAACACAAGAGCCGCACCAGATCAGATCAGAGCAGAGGCCGGCCAGGCCAGGCCAGGCCAGGCCGCAGCAACCCGCTCTTCGCGCTTCTAGCGCACCACAGGAACCAGGGCTGCGTGCTGCAACCGAGCATCCACCCCACCCGCCCCAGAGGGAAAAGGGGTACGGAGTAAGCCGCTCACAGGTTTGCAGTTTCCTTACTGGAAAACCACCATACGCAAAAATTCACACAAAAAAGTTTCCACTGCCTTTTCAGAGTCTGTTGCTTCTTTCTTTTCCCCTTATTAATGTTGTTAATATGCAGAGTTTCAAAGGAATTCTTATTTTTAAACAGAGACCTTTCCTTTTTTCTTTTTTTTTTTTAAGCGAACTGGTTTGGAGACATTTCCTCCAGACAACAACCGAGTCCACGCGACACAACCCTTTCCACAATGACCCTCCATGGCTCTCCCCATTCTCCAGCCACCGCTCACAAAAGCAAACCAACAAGAGGACAAAACATTTTCTCCACTTAGTGACAAAAGACAGAGAGAGAAGGGGGGAAAAAAGGAAACCGTTTATTCAACTGCTAAATTTGGTCTGTTCCAAAAGTCACCCATTTACTACACAGACATTTTGGGGTTTTTTTTAAAAATGGAAATACTGTACTCGAAATCACAACCGAGCATTCTACTGGGGGTGAGGAGGCAAACAGGGGATGCAGTACAAGAACAGATCTTTCCTAAAAGCGTGGGCGGTGGGTGCAGGGACAGGGGCTGGGGGCGAGAGGGAGGAAGGGGGAGACGGCACTCGTGCGGCTCGTGGCGTGTGGAACGCTTGCTTCCTACAGGGAAAAGGGGGAAACGGATGGGAGGGCAGGGCAGGGCAGGGCAAGAAGAGGAAAAACCGTGTCATTTGGCCCCTTAAGATTCTGAGACGAACTTTGGCATAAACACGGACAGACAAAAGAAGGGACCACGCCGTGAGACCGTTTACACCAACCTCGAGGCTCTCCCCCCCGTGCTGAGTTACAGCTCCCCAAATCCCAACCGGCAAACTGGCCGGGGGACTCTGGAAGCCGTAGCCCGGACCTGGAGGGCCCCGCTGCCGGGAGGGCCGATTTCCACATTCCCACACTGACACGCACAGAGCACAGATCTCCAAACACGCAAGAGTGAAGCGATCGGGGAGGAAACAAAAGTGTGTCTCTCGCCAGAGGGCTCACGCGGACGTCGCTGCGAGTCCCTCTGGGTGGGGGGACCAGAGCTGGGCCGCAGGACGTGGCCACTGGGGAGCTGCCCCCCACACCTATCCCAGTGGTGCTTCTGAGCGCGGAGCACCCACACAGACGGCACGTGCCCCGAGAAATCCCGGGCTCCTCCAGATCTCCGCAGGCTTTCCTGGGAAGGCCGCGTGCCTTCCCTCCTGGACTGGACGCTTTTTTTGCAATCTGGGCCTCTTTATCTCGCAGTCAGAGCAAGCCCTTGCGCCCGTCAGGCATGGCAGCCGTTCGAGGGCCGCTTGCTCCTGGAGGCCGAGGAGTCCTTCGCCGCCCGGTGCTGGGCGCAGGAGGCACACAGGGCGCCCGAGAGGCGCTTCAGGCCTTTCTGAAAGACACTGTTGGACAGGCTGTAGATGACACAGTTGCAAAAGCTGTTGCTGATGGCCAGCCAGGTGGTCAGGAAGGAGGCCACTCGGCTGCGGTAGACGGAGGAGCTCTCCAGGAGGAAGTAGATGATGTAGGGCAGCCAGAGGATGTAGAAGACGCTGGTGATGCGCAGCAGGACCATGGCGTAGCGCTTGTCCGGGCAGGGCTGGGCCTCGGCCGCCTCCCCTTCCTGCGCGCTGAAGCGCACCCGCCGCTCGTTGATCTCGCGGGTATGCTGCTGGCAGATGCGGAAGATGCTGAAGTAGGTGAAGCACACCACGAAGGCGGCCGGCGCATACAGCACCACCACGATGAAGAGGGTGAAGGCGGCGCGCGTGTCCCAGGAGTCGGCGCACCAGCGGAAGATGTCCCCGTGGTAGCCGGGCTTGCCCCAGCCGAAGAAGGCGGGCAGGAAGACGGCGCCCGAGTAGAGCCAGAGCAGCAGGATGCAGAGGCGCAGCCGGCAGGGGGTGACCAGCGTGTTGTAGCTCAGCGGCTTGGTGATGGCGATGTAGCGGTCCACGCTGATGCAGGCCAGGGAGGTCATGGAGACGCTCTTGAGCACCGAGACCACGTAGCCGAAGGCCTTGCAGACCAGGGACTCGGGCAGGAAGGCGACGCGGTAGCGCAGCAGCGAGAGCGAGGGCACCAGGCAGCTCACGCCCACCAGCAGGTCCGCGTAGGCCATGGTCTGGATGAAGTAGCTGGTGGTGTGGTGGTTGAGCAGCGGCGCGCAGTGGAAGACGAAGATGACCACGATGTTGCCCGAGATGATGAGGACGGTGAGGAAGACGATGATGATCACCTCCAGCAGGCAGATGTCCAGGGCCTCTGGGTAGCCGGCCACCAGAAGGCAGAAGGGCCTGCCGCCACCGCCGCCGCCGCCACCGCTGTGGTTGCCGCCGTCCAGGGAGGCGTTCATCTTGCGGCGGCGGGCGGCTACGGCCCCTTCACTCCTCCGCCGGTCGCTGCCCGGCTGCTGCAGCGGCTGTCATTGCAGCTGCCGCGTGTGCTGCGCCGCCGCCAGTGCCGGAGGAGGAGGAGGAGGAGGAGGAGGAGGAGGAGCGAGAGGAGTGCGGAGGCTCCTCGGAGCTGCTGGGCATTGTCCGCAGTGGCTGCCCCTCGAGCGCGCGGCGGCTCCTTGGGCCGCGCGGCCACCGCCCCCTCCTGCCCTGCCGCTCGCTCGCTCTCCGCTGGTGCTGGCGGCACCGAGGGCGAGGCGAGGCGAGGCGAGGCGGGGGCGCCGAGGAGGAGGAGGAGGACGAGCGAAAAGAGGCGCTCCAGGTCTGGAGGCGGCAGGCTGGCTAGCGCGGGGGGGGGGGAGCAGCGCCAGCGAGAGCCGGGCGGGGGCGGGCCCTAGCAGAGAGGAGAAGAATCGGAGGGGGCGTCCCCCGGCACCCCTCCCTTCTCCCCCACGCCAGCCAGCCAGCCGGGGACGTGCGCGCCCGGCTCCCCACCCCCAACACTGCGGGCTCCGGCCGGCCCCAGTGGCCCCGGCCGGAGGCGACCCGCGGGCAGGGGGCTTTCAGGACCTGTCTGCGGGGCGAGGAGGGCGGGCTGGGTGCGGGGGGGGCCCTGCCGGCAGAGCCCTCCCCATGCGAAGCGGATCTGCTTCCTTCCTACCTGCAGCCCAAGGGACAAAGGCAAGGCAAGGCAAGGCAAGGCAGGGCTAGGGCGCCGCGTGCCCAGACGGCGGAGCAGCTGCGCTGGGCCAGAGCCCTGGGGAGGGGAAGGGGGTGACCCCGGCGGGAGCCCCCGCCTGCCCAGCGCTCCCCCCCACCCTGCTCCGGAGCCGCAGCGAGGCGGGCGGGCGCGCACGCGCCAGCTTCTCCTGGTGTCTCTTCCCTTCCCTCGCCCGGCGCACTTGCCTGCTTGCTTGCGCACGCGCCCGCTCGCCCGCCCACCCACCCGCCTGCCCGCCCCGCAAAGAGGGGCTCCCTGCGCGCCTCACCGTCCTCCGCACCCCGGTCACCGCCACCGCCCCGTTGTCATCCCCAGCACCTGAGAGGGCCAAAGGAAACCCCCAACAGGCAAACGCACGCGCACACGCCCGTTCACGCTACCGGGGCTGGGGGAGTTTCCGAGGATCACTTCCCTTCCGCTCCCGCTGGGCCGGGTCCTCCCCCCCCCCCCCCGGCCCCCCCTACCCCCCCCCCCCGGCACTCTTCCACACCTGCCCAAAGGCGAAGGCGCGCTGCATGAGCTCAGAGGCACAGTGATCGCGGCACATCTTCCGGGGCACGTGTGGGTGCTGGGGGCCTGGGAGCCGACCCACCCGGCACTCCTGCACGCCTGCGTCAGAGCCCCCTGGGCGCACAGCCCTGGAACGACCCCCAAGATGACTCGACCACGCCACAGTCCGAACAAGAAGACGATATTCACAGCCAGCGGGCGCAGAAGCGGGGAAAGGCCGGGCAACCGAGTCAAGGGGGACCGACGCCTCCTGAGCAATCCCCAAACCTGGAATGGAAGCCGCGGGCAGAAGACCGCCAGAAAATCATGGACGTGCGCGGGGGCCCATTTAACCAGAGTGGCAACACTCACCCTCCGTTTCCATCTTCCTTTTCCATAGCATATACACCCCAACTGACTTGAGAGACGGATATTTGGGAAAACACCCCATCTGCAAGAACCCACAACTCCTGGCAACTGGGGCTGTGACCAGGAAGGAAAACGGGACTTGCTGTGATGCAGGGCAGCATCTCCACCATAATGGTGGAGTTTGCTCAGAAAGGATGGAAGGAAGACCAAACCCTTCTCTGCTTCCCTTGAAGCAAGACGGTTTGAGTTCCACCAAGCTTTCACCAGAATCTTGATTATACCTAGCGACAATTTGGTTGATCCGCTGTATTTTGGCGTTCGATGCCCTGTATCAGCACAATTAAAATCCAACTGAGCCTTGGGAGCTTTTTTAATCGCCGAAAGACAGTATCCAAATGCAATTCACGACCCTGTCTCCCACTTCGCAAAGCGTGGCCTTTCCGTTGGAACCACGGCACGGGTGCATGAGCACACGCACAGGCACACAGAAGGACTCCCGACACTCTCCGCCTGTCAGTTCTTCGGCTTCCGCACAGGAATACGCGGGAAGGTCCTGTCCTGATACCCAGAGTCAGGGCGGTTCTGAGAAATCATGCAGAATGGACCCCTTGTAATAGGTGTAACGCAGGTTAATTAAATCAATTCAGAAAGAGGACACGGGATGTTAATTAAACACACACGTTTTTTAAAAAAGCTGCCGACTAACCAAATGATCCTGTGATCAGCACAGAAGCAACGCGCCGTTTTCATCAAGTGGGACACACCGAGTCCCCTTCCTGGGCAGAAGACGGCTGCAAAACCACACCTTGTCCACAGAGCAGTTCCCCCGCCTTGTCCCGTGCTGGGGTTTGGAGAACAACTCCAATCATTCCTGACCATTGGCTCTGTGGCAGGTGATCGGTTACAGAGGACAGGAGGCAGTGGGAGGTTGGGGTTCGAAAGAAGCCAAGACCCTTTTCTCCCATCCTTATAAAAGGCCAAAACCACACACGGTTCACAAGGGTTTCGCTCGGCCTCCCTGGGAATTACAGGCGCCGCACTTCCAGCCCACCTGGCGCGCACAGGCCGATGTCAATAGAACTCCACATACATACCTGTGGGCAGAGACCATCAGGGTTCATTTCCGGTGCAATCAGTAGCACACGCCCCTCATCGGATGCCAGTGAAACCCAAGCGGAGACCTCCTGGCTCTTCCACCGTGGGGGACGAGGCTGGCCCCACTCACGACCAGCATCCCTCTTGCAAGACCGCACTCACGAGCCCCAGCCTCTCCCCCCGCCGGCTCACAGGTGGCTGCATTCTGCCGGGTTCTGGCCCCCTCAGCCTCACATTTATCAGGCAGCAAACTGGCAGCACAAACCTGGTTCTCCTCTGTGGCCATGAGGACTAGCATAATGCACAGAACTGCACATCTAATCAACCAGAGAAGGGCCCACCACTAAACAGCATTTGTTTAGCAATCCCGTTTTTCACAGGAGCACTTACCTTATGAAACAGGAGAGGCCTTTCTCTCGCTCTGGCCCACCTTGACCCCTGCTCCTCACACGCACAAGCAGGCAGCGGCATGAACGCAATTCCTTCCTAAAACTGTGTGGCGCAGGTGCAAAACAGTGGACAGGAATCAGGGAGGGCAGGCCGGGAGCCCACGCGGGGGCCAAAGGGAGCTTCCTGGCAGAGCCGGGACTTGAACCCGGGCATCTCGAGTCCCACTTTTACCACCGTGGCACATTGGCTCTGCCGCAAACCATGCCGAGCTCCCCAGCATATCCCAGCCTACCTCCTGCCCAGCTCGGCAGAAGAAGCACCTCTCCCCAGATCACACCCACGACAACAGACCTATCGCCTACAAAGAGTGTGCTTCTTGCTCATTCACACACGGGGGCCCATTTAAAAATTAGACAGTCAATCCTGAGGATGTAAGACGGAAACGGCCGGATCAGAACTCGCTTTCTTCCAGCATGATGTTAATCGCCTTGTCGAGGGGTGAGAAGCCCCAAGCAGCACGCCAGTCCCAATCCAGGTCAGCTCCCCAGCCACTGGGATTCCAGGGAAGCAACCTGTGAACACGGAGGCGCCATGTCGAACTACCGTTCCGGAGAAGAACTGCGGAGACACTCTGCTGGGCCAGACCAAAGGCCTACCTAGTGAGCAAGCTACCCTCCACGGGGGCGACCCCTGGAGACTTCAGCTGTTCCCCAAGAGAGGGAATCGGAAGCCTGGATCAACTGCTTTCTCCTCCATGCATTTGTCTTATCCCCTTTTAAAACGGGTGGCCAGAGCCAAGCAATTTTGCAGTTCACCCGCAGCGCATCTCCAGCATGCTGGCTGAAGGGGCTGGAAGTCGCAGACCGACATTCCTGGGGGGCACCCAGCCGGGGAAGCCTGGGCTACGATTTCTTTAGCAGGGAAACAGGCCCAATCCTGGGATAACGCCACTCTGCCTCTGGGGAATCAAGTGCCCATGTTCCACCCCTGCCTCCCAGGGAAGGCAGCGAGGTTAATTTGATGAATGCGTGGTTCTTCAAGAGGTGCCCCTCCTGAGGGACATGGCAACTGGCTAACAGGGGGCGGGGGGAAAGGCGGCACACGTTCCCGGCCGATTCCTGCAGCAGAGGCATCGTCAAGGGCGGCCTTCCCTGCCCTCCCGAGCGCCTGCATCCTCCGCAGGGCAAGGACCTCTGCTGGGACAGGAAGCATCAACAGCAACGCCCCTCTGCACGCTGAGCAGAGCGTCCCTGGTGGCCCAATACGTAAACCAAGCAAAGGCCCAGCTGGGAAGGAAGCTGCACCGCACTGCAGAAGCATGTCCGCTGGCGGGTCCCTTTCGGGCACCGCACGGCGCCTTTCCGCAACGTGGTTCCACAGCACTTCAACGCATCGTGGTAAAAGCAGCTTTGCACCGCCAGAAAGAGGACTGCCATTATCTGCGGTGCTTTTCCCCCCCTTGGTGCGTCTTTCTAAGCGGCCTGAGCACCCAAAGGAGCCCGGCTGGCGGCCGAGGGATTAAACGTGGCGGGAAGGGAGATGCTGGGGCACGGACCGGTCCGGTGCCATCACGGACCACCTTGCTCACGTCCCCGGCTCTTGCTGAGCCAGCGCGAGCTGAAGCAGCAGCCGCAGCTCGCTGGGGCCAGCGGAGCAGCTACTCACGCGGCAGGAGAAGCCCAGCCAGCAGATGCTGTTTGCGGGCGAGCACGTGCGCCTAACGCAGCTGCCAGCCAAGACAAAAAGGCCGGTGGGGGGGGGGGGGGGCGGATGGAAGGAGGTTGGTCTGGGCAGCAAATGAAGCCGGGCGCACAAACCTGCCTGGGGTCCTTGCGCTCGCCTCCCAAAGCAGAGAACCAGAGAGCAAAGGTGGGCGAAAGTGACGCTCACTTCCCCACCCTCCCAGCTTCAGGGTTTCTTGACATGCAGCTTTCCCGCAAGGCCAGGGAGAAAGGCCGGAAGACTTGCAGCCGAAATCTAAGCATCTGACATGACCGGATCGGCCCCGCTTGGCCAGGGCATCCGAGGCCGGCACCCAGGCGTCCTGCAGGGAGAATCCTCTGCAGGCCCCTGCCTAGTCCGAGTGCAAACTCCACGCCAAGCAAACCCGAAGGGCCGAGCGCAGCGTGACTCAAACCCCAGTCGATCGGCACAGATCGACTCCTCCCTCTACCGCAGGGTCTTGTGGATATTCTTCTGGGAAGAAGTGGGAAAGAATGAGCGGGGAAGGAATCGAGCTACTGCGAGTCAGGAGGGGCTGTGCACACGCTTGTGCTGCAGAGGAGCAAAACTAGGCACCGCCTGATTGCAGAAGGGCCAGAGCAGATGGGGGGGACCTCAAGCAGAAAGAGCAAGCATCTGGCTTCCCCTCTGCCCAACCCCTAATCCAGCTAAGGTGGCATTTCTGGCCGGGGGAGCCCCCACCAGGGGGGTGACATTAGCTGGAGAACCGCCCACTGAGAGAGGAAAGGCAGGCTGCCAGGTAGCATGGGGGGGGGGGCGGGGGCTGCACTGCTGGGAAGTTGCAAGAGGAAGCCCTGGCAGCTGGATCGATACCATGAGCCACTGCGTGTCGCAAGAGCCACTGCGCCCACCCCACGCGGTGCCGGCCCAAGGAAGCGGGGAGGCAGCACGGGCCTGGCCGGGCCTGGCCTGGGGCACACACTGAAGAAGAGCCCCGCCAAGCAGCAGGAGGTCCCCACCCTTGCCTCTGCAGCTTGGCATGGGGGGTGGGGGGGCAGAGGAGGCAAAGGGATGCAGGAGGACCATGTGGTTCGCCCCCACACGAACGCTATCTGGATCCCGGATGGGGGGCAACAGTGCGGTGTGCCCCGTGCAGTCAGGCAGAGCAGCTTCCCCGAGCCCCAACACACAGTCAGACACAAACAGGTCCCCTCTTCCTTCCGCAGCACAGCTGAACGGTCCATGCCGCCTGCCAGGCGATCCTCCTGCGCGGGCCCCTGCGCGGCGGCCCTACCCCACAGCAGAGCGTGCACGGGCCCATTTATTTCCACCTCTCCCAGCTTGGATGCGGTGCTCGTCCGACATGCCCGACTCACGCCACGGGCCGAGTGCCCAGCGACCCACCGGCTGCTTCCGCGGACGGCTCGTGGCACCACGCACTGCCACCCACTCACATCCTGCGGGCCTGGCCTCCATCCCACAGGGCGCTGCTCAAGAGCAGTGCTGGCCAGCCGGGCCACCACCTCACCCTGGCCTCACTCCTTCTCCACGTGCGAGCCTTACAAACTGTGCGCTTTGTTTAAAGTGCAAGACTCCGTCTTGCCTGCTGGAACGACAAACAGATCAGCCGGAGCGGCTTCCGGCCCCAGAACCACTTGGAGCTTTCCACGTCGCTGACCTGTTCCCGCCATGGCCTCCCCGAAGCGCCCAGTCCACGGGGGGCCCCGCAAGGACGTCACAGCTCTTGCTGCAGCGGGGATGGGAAAGAACGCCGGAGGAACTGACCTGGAGAGCATCCTAAGGGCTCCTGGAGTGGCGTGGTGCGGGGCAAGACGGACAACAAGGGCCACTCCTCTGCATCCTCTGCCAAGGGATGCCCGCCACTCCTGGTCTGCCCAGGCGAACGGCCTCCCACAAGCGTCGCGGCGGCCAGAGTCCCGCAGAGGCGGAGCAAAACCCGCTGCCGCCCAACAGCCAACGCGCCCGGCGGGTGCCAAGCACCAGGAGCAGCGTGAGGTTCAGCTAAGCAGCCTTCAACCACGCACACATGTGAAATGGTGCACCGGCCTACCTTTGTGATGAGAATGCGGTACTTCTCCACCAGGTGGTCGTTGTTGTGACATCCAGCCAGCAGCTGCCAGACCTCCCCCCGGAGTGCCTCGGGGACCCCGCTTCTCACGAGCGCGGGCAAGGTCTTTGGCCGCACACTCAGGTTCAGGTGCCTGGATGGGAGGAAGGAGATGCGGATCCACTCAGGGCGGGCAGGAGGAGGAGTGTCTGTGGAGGCAGGGCAGACCCCGCTGGCTGCCCCACGCCCTTGCTGCCGATTGCGTGCCACCGATAGCTCTCTGGGTCATTCGCAGCAAGTAAAGCCGTGGAGAACCGCACGGGTGAAGGGTGTGCCCCGGCTCGACTCGCGCTCGCCATCTCACGTGCCCCGGCCTCCAAGGAAAGAGGCCGATTCAGCAGAGAGGATTTTGATGTGGGGAAGAGCCAGAGAGGGCGGTGGCGGCGGCGGGGGGGGGGCTGCTTACCACTTGGCCAAAAGGTCCCCCCACGTCTCAAGGATTTTCTCCGCACACTCTTTGGAGACGTCGCCGGAGCCGCTCAGCAGAGGCTCATCGTTATCTGCAAGACACAAACGCAGACCCAGGGAGAGGTGAGGCGCAAGCAGGGAGACGGTTCCGTCCATTTGGAGAAGTGCGTGCGGACAGGCACACCTGCACAGATTTTATGCCGATGAAATAAAGCGCAGAGGGAGTCGGCTCCAAACTGGATTTGGGGGGGAGGGATTCCAGTTTGACACCCGGGAGGAAGAGGCAAGAGTGCGAGGGAATCAAGCTGTGTACGTGAGGCAGAGCAAATCGTGTTCGCCGGGAAAGTCGTGGCACCCAGCAGAGATGTGACTCCTTTTCCACCTCCCCCAAAGACCCATGTCCCAACCAGGTCCCACAATCTGGTCCAGCACAGTCCCCTTCACCTACGCTCTGGCGACACCCCGTAGCGCCTGGGGCAGGGCATGGGGCACCTTTATGACGAACCTGGAGGCAGCAGCGGGTTCAACACAGACCTGCAAGCGGCCACAACTCGGCATCCCTGCCCTGTCCTGCCAGTGCTTTATCGGACGCACCAATGCGCTGTCTTTTCCCAGGCCCAGTTTAAACTGCCGGGGCTTGGGACCAGCTTGCTGGAAAGATCGCCCACTCCCCAGACCTAAAGATGACCTGTGGGGAATGTGCCGTGCAGCTTCTGCCCAGCGGAGAGAGGCGATCGGCCGCTGCGGAACGGGCCCTCGCAGTGAGCAGCCCTGCCTGAAAAGCTCGCCTTCTCCCGCTGCCTGCACTGGGCACGAACCGTGACCCTTCAAAGCCTTCTTGGGCTCTCGCTTCTGGCATGTTTTTAACCTGACCTCCGACTTACGCCATCTTTATCGAAGGAAGTTTCTCACGCTGCATTTTATTGGCCTGGCATTTTTCGCCATGATACTTCGTATGTTTTTTAATGCTGGATCTTGAACTGGAAGCTTCCCAAGAGAATCTGTTAACAGGCAGCCCTATAAAATCATCCAGGCAAAGTGGGCCCCAGAGGCCACGCTCTGGAATTCTGGAACATATTCCCGATTCTGCAAATGCCTAAGTATTTCTCATCGTCATCACCACCATCTCTACCCCGCCCTTCTTCTTCTTGCACGGAACCCGTCCTCGTGATGCCGACGCTGCGAGGAAGGGGCGGCTGAGAATCTGTGACTGGCCCGAAGAACCAGCTGATGCCACGGCCGAGAGGGCTTAGAACCCGCAGCTCCCAGGCCCCCCATCCAACAAGCACCCACACCAAGCTGGCTGCACAGCTGCACCCGCCGTGGCTGGCGAGCGGCGTTGGCCAAGCAAGGCACACGGGCGATGATCCCAGAAAAGCCACCCCCACCCCCCGCAGGTCCCCAAGCCCCGCCTACCCTCCTCTTCGTCATCCTCAGGAGGGGAGGGGATCGTGGATCCCTGGGGTCCCGACGGCGGCAGGCGGAGTGCGGGGCTTGCAGTGGTTTTCCTCCTCTCCCTTTCCAGCTCGCTCTCCAGGCACACCACTTCATAGAGCGTGCCGGTGCTGTTCTTCCGATCCTTCTGCTTGATCTAACGGAGACAACGCACAGGGAGGCCCAGTCCTGCGGCTATTCCGCTACTCCCTCTGCCCCCCCGGCTGGCTTCGGGGCTGTCTGTCCTGCAACCTCCCCACCTCCCAGACCTGCATGTTCAGCCTCCTAGTCCTCAAGCTTCTCCCCAGCCTCCACTGTCCCTGGGCCCTGCGGGGTTCCCCCCACACCTGCCCTCGTCAGCTTAACATTCCACACCCTTCCACAAAAGCTGCTCTGTTTTTCCAACATTCTGCCGTGGAGAACTTCCCCACAAGTGCCTGAGAAGAGTCCTTGGCATTTCACAACATCAAAGTTCCTAAGCCGATGCGGAAGGGAGGTGGAAAGTCCCTTCCAAAGCACCATTTGCAACTGCTTAGAACTTCCTGCCTTCCAACTAGGACGTTTCTCAAACAGAAATGCTTCTACATGAAAAAGTTATCCCATGTTTTAATTTACCTGAGAAAAAAACAAGTCTCCAGTTCTACAAAGCTGCCCCCTACAGCAAAATTCCAATATCACGAGAAACGGGATTCACACTACAACCCTGCGGTTGGTTGGTGTTTTCAACCGCTTGTGTGTACCTGTGGAATCCTGTCTCACTTTGGAGTTATCAAGCAAAGCCTCTTAACCACAGTTCCAAAAAGGAGAAACCAAAGCAGGGCCCAAAATGATACCAGCGCCTCTTGAACAAGTCCAGCCAGGGCCTGAGAACAAGCCCACAAGGAGCCAGATAAAGCATTACAATGGAGGCCGGAGGAGCGAGACAAAAGGTGACGGAATTCGCCCAGAAAGATAAACTTCCTTGAGCTAACAAGTTTGTGCCTTTGGGGCAGAGAGATATTTATAGCCAGCAGAAGCAATTGTCTCAGCCTCTGCACTTTGCAGAGAAGCTGAACGAATTCTCGGAGACCAGCACGGCCACATCAGCCGCACTGGAATGCCAGTGTCATGCAGGGAAGGGTGCAGCCGTGCCAAACTTCTGGGAGGCCGAGAGCCCTTGCTTCACGGGACCAAGAGCCCTCTCCTGCCGCTGTTCCCCTGCACGCGGTTCTACAGAAGCCATCTTGACCAGCAACCACGGGTTGCTACATCCTCCACAAGAAGGCTTGGCCCAGACAAGCCCCCAGTCCCTGGTCCTCTGCTCGGCCCCAGAGCCAAACCCCAAATGAATGCAAAGAAAAGAAACAAAAGGCAGAAGCGGGCCGAGAGGCCTCCAAAGCTTGCTGCTTCACCTGCTTCAGCTTCAGGAAGAAATTCTCCGTGGAGCTCCGCTTGCTGAAGGGCCAAAACAGCCTCTCGTTGGCGGGACAGACGCGGACCTTGGTCTCCAGGAGGAAGCGGACCGGCTCCTGCACCTCCGTGATCACCAGATCCACAGCCGTGGTCAGGAAGAGCACTTTGTCTGGCGGGAGAGAAGCAGAACCGTGTGACAAGGCCTCCCTTTGGCCTGTGAGACCAGAGCTGTCCCACTTTTCAGGCAACGGTAACCAAAAAGTGTTGGCAAGAGAGGACCCTCTGCAAAAGACAGGCAAAGAAAGCAAAGGAGCAGGCCAAGCAAAAGAGGAAAGCAGAACGGGAGGCAGCCTCGGAGCACCGGCGGACCTAAGGGCTCCTGGCTGGTCAGTCACCGATGGAGAAAGTGGGGCTCCTCACCGGGTGCAGCGGGCACCCCCTAATCGAGGCGCCGTCACAGGAAAGCACTCTCGTGCCGGACACTAATGCCGGTGGGTGTGAGGACAGGGCCTCAGAGCCCGCACAGTTTCCAGATGATCTGCAGCCCCCTGGGGCGTGAGCAGGCCACCGAGGCAGCTCTGACCGCTGAGAAGAGGCTTCAGAACGCTGCCAACAGCACCACCGCAGGACAAACGCGACGGACGGCTTCACGCCAGGGCTGTGCCAAGACAAGCCTTGACCTGCGAGTCGAAGGGCAGCAGAGGAGGCTCCTGCCAGCAGCTTCCCCTGCGCACAGTGTCACCAGAGGTCGCGGTCGCACAAGGTGGTGCGCCTGGACAAAGGGCCTCTCCCGGAAATCTCAAGGACGCGTGGCCTGGCAGGAAGCCTGGCCCCACGGAAAACCCCTGACCTGCTGGCCTCCGGGAATCGGAACCCATCGGACAAGTTCTCAGCCACAAACCTTTTGGCGTTTCTTCATTCACTATTTGGAAATGCGGAGACTTGGTGTTCCAGCTGCCCGTGATGACGTAAGATTTTCCATCAGAGCTTTTGCCCATGGACTCCTAAAAAAGACAAGCTGGGCAATTTAAAACGAAGGCCATGCCCTGCTAGGCCAAGACTAGAGTTCCCCTGAAGCAGACACAGCAGGGTGTGGTACCTCCCAGGCATGCGCCCGGTCCGGCCTGCGAAGCTTCCCCGGATCCTGCAGAGGGCAGCGTTTGGCCCCGAAGAAATCCCATCTGGGAGACCCAACCCAGGGGGAGGGCAGGCCCTGCACCGTCCAGGTGGAAGGCAACGGCTGGGATGCTGGGGGACCCAAAGGGGAGCACTTGGAGGTGCCGGGACGGAGAGATGCTCCCAGCATCAGCCGGTTCAGTGCTTCCCAGGCCCCTCACTGCATCCACTGCTGAAGTGCCCCTGCCACCTGAGCCTCCTTCTCCAGGCCTCTCCCAGGCAAACTGGGCCGGGGTCACGGTATCCATGAGCAGGGAGGATGGGCCCTACTGCAGGCCTAGGGTGGAAACCCAGGGTAGGGTCAGGGTTTGGAAAACGAAGGTGCCCCTGAGGTTTCTGAGGGCTGCGATGCGATTGGAATGGCAGGATACAATGAGCTGGGCAGGAAAAAAACTCCAGAAGGCGGGGATTTTGGAAATGGGTATGATGCATGGGGAATGGGCCCTATTGTACGTCTAGGGTGGAAATCCCCTGAAACGGAGGGTCGAAGGCCTCCCACCCGAGCCCTGGAATCCTCAGCTGCTACCCGAGAGCGCCTTACCAGGTCCAGCAAGTGCATATCGCCGCTCTGCACGTTCTTCCCTGGGCTGAGGAGGAGCCCAAAGCACCTGCAATCGGGGCAACACCCAGGCAGCTTTGTTGAGAAGCCAGGGTTACCGAGCTTTTCGAAAGAACACAAAAAGTCCCCTGCTGGATCAGGCCTAGGGTGGATCCCATCCAGGATCCTGTTCCCACAGCGGCCAACCCAATGCCCACGGAAAACCCAGCAGCGGGACAAAGGGCGACAGAGAGGAAAGGCCTCCCTTCCCATTTTCTCTGCGTGACGCACGGTCCTGCACACCCCGAAACTGTCCCCGCTCTCGGGGCCTTTCCTCACAGGGGTAGCTCCAGCCCCTGGATCCTGGCAGGAGCCCTTTTCCAACCCTATACGATCCCCGTTTTAGCCGTGGTGCCCAGTGCAATCCTCCCTCCAGCACGCCTTGCGACAGCGCTTATATCCAGACGTGCCCCAGCACACTGATCCTCCCCCTTCCACCAGACTCCCACTGCAGTGGGTCCTCCTTCACACCCAGGCATTCCAACCGCCCCACTCAGGCCCAGCGGCTCTTGTGTAGACACGGTGCCCCTCCCAGACCTGCACCTGGACTTCCTCCCCAAGGATCACAGTCCAGAGATAGCAGCAGGAGCCCGGCTGGGCTGAAAACCTCGAGGGGCTTTTCCTATTTGCCTCTGCCCAGCAGCCAGGAGGAGGCAGAAGGTGCACAGACTTCCTAACTGCGTTTGCGGCACGTTCTGAAAGCTATAAATCCCAGGGGCGCTGCAAGGAGAACCCAAGGGCCGCTCCTGCCTGCAAGGTCCCCAAAAGAGCTGAACGGAAGAGGGCGAAGGAAGTCGGGCCATGCTACCTTTCAATGGCCAGCTCCTTGTTGGTCGTCTGCTGCACGTAGATGACGATCTTCTTGTCGATGCCCTGGCGCAGCTTGAAGCACTGCCTGTCCTTGTCTTTGGGAACGGCACTGTCAACAGGAGAAGCACAGAGTTTTTGAAGAGGCCGCGACATGGCGGCAACCAGGGCACGCCCCGGCCAGCTCCCTGGGTCCTGGGAGGACTGGTGTGCCGTTTGTTTGTTTAGAGTTTTTATCTGCCGTCCCATCGCTTAACGCCTCCGGACGGCTTACATAAACAAACAAATGTAATACAAAAAATACAGATTATACAAATTAAAGACCCGATTCATTCCGGCTGCAAATTAAAACCTATAGGTAATATTAAACATTATTAAAATATCATTTAAATAAAAAGGTCTTAGCCTGGCACCGAAAAACAAGTAACGACAGCGCCAGGCGGACCTCTCTGGGGAGTGCAATCCATTATGCAGGCTCCTGGAGCTCGGGGCTAAACCCTCTTCCAGAAGGGCATGAAGCTCAGTCGTGTTCGACAGGTGGACTGGTGGCGGCCACAAGCCAGGACAGAGGTGGAAAGTCTGTGAAGGTCTTCTGGCCATCAGCACCAAAGATAGGCCTTGCCCAGTGACGGGTCCACTTTTGCAATGAGGATGAAGCTGCCCGAGGGCACCAGGCTGAGGAATGTTGCGCTAGGAGGTACCAGTCTTCCAATGATGCCTCTGTGCCCAATTATTTTGGAGAGAGAGAGCCACCAAATGAAAACTCGAGGTTCTGACTGAAGCACCCCCTGCCCGCCTGACATTGGCAACAGCAGACAGTGGGTGGCAGCACAGTGCCAAAGTGGGAGAAGACGGCCGTGGAAAACCGGGAGGTTGGACAAAGCCAGCTGAAAAAGACGCAGTTTTGCCATTTTGGGGGCTTGGACTCAGAGTCCAGTATGCTCAAACCAAAGCGGGCGAGAAACTTCAGCAGCCTTTAAAATACTGCTTTTGTGTACAAGCAGAAAAAAACAGGATTTTTTTTACAGGATATTCTTTGCCACAAGCGATTTCTTGGCCTTCGCTGGGCACAAGAGCCTGTTTAGCAAAAACAAAAAATTTCCACCGTGGCCACTGGAGAAACGTTCTGCGCCCACCACCTGCAAGACAGGCCACAGGAGGCTGAGAGCTCGGACACACCCTGAGAGAATTTATTTGGTTTACCATTTTAATTTTTCGGCAGATACTCTGATGACTGAAGAAAGGAAACAGTAAGAAGGAAAGTCGCTGATGTGACCAAAGTGCAAGAGGAAACATTTTCAGGTGCCTGAAAAAACAGTATTAGCCAGCATATTTGGGAAAGGGCGTTGGTTCCTCAGAGGGCACTGAATTCAGCTCTCCAAAATGTAAAAGTTGGGGTGTCAATGCATGTAAAACAACCCCTTAAGGGAGAGGCTAAAAGTCCAATGAATGGTAAGAGCTTCAAACCAAGCATTCGAAGCAGACCTTCAGAGCCCAAAATCCCAAATAAAACAGCACATTAACGCCTGACTTCCAGCTTGACTTTGGACAATACGCTTTACATCAGTCTTCACCAAATGGGCACCCTCCAGGTGCCTGTAACTAAAACTCCCATCACACTCAGCAAGCCTAGCCAACAGTCCGATCTGGAGAGTTGTAGTCCGAAAAGTCTGGAGGGTGCCGAGTTGGGGAAGCCTGCTTCACGTGCCCCGAAAGCCACCATGATCTGCAGGTGCTCTGGTGGGGAGGGCGTACCTGAAATACCCTTTCCCATCATCTTCCTTTATTTCCAGAGAGACCGAGAACGTGAAGATGTCGCTGTCGGGTGTTTGCGGGGCGACAGGGACCGCGAGTGGGGCTTCTTTGGCAGAACGGCGGAAGGCGGTGGCAAAACTGTACAGGATTCGACTCACCTGCGGACACAAGGAGCCAGAGAAAGAGATTAAGGGTACAACCCCACGTGAGCTGAGACAGAAAAAAGCTGGCGGGGGGATGCTGGGAGCTGCAGGAAGGTGATTTTTACAGCGCTGAGCAAGGGGCTGAGGGTGGCATCAGCAGTCCCTGCCCCCACATGCACTGATCCCCCCGTACCCAAACCCCGCACTCTCTCCCGGGAAAACTGCATTCTGGCTGCAGCTGCCGTCTGGGGCCTGGCGTGTCCCCGCCGGGTGCAGCCTTCTGGAGCAGGGCTGGCACCTGGGATGGATGCAGGCCTCTCACTGGGCAGCCATTCCAGCCCACGGCTGCGTCAGGGGGCCGGGGGCCAGGCCAGGCCGGTCTTCCTCCTCTCCCTTCACTTCCAAATCCTGTTTCCATGGTCTGCCTGAGCATCTGGAGACGGCGACCTTGAGATAACCTCACCCTCCTCTGCCACCTCGATCCCTGCACACCCCCCCCCCCCCAGCCGTCACAGTCCTTATCCGACAAACCGGTGCAGCCCTGATCCTGGGAAGCGGGCCAAGATTAACTGCCTCTTTCCCGCTACCTGGAGACAACAGAGGTCAAACCTGGGGCCTCCTCAGCGAGGATCAGAGGCTCTGCTCTACACCGCAGACCTTGCTCAGCACAAATGCTGGACTTACAGCTTCCTGTATTTCACACCGAAAGACGTGGATTCGGAAGAGCTCCGAGTTGTAATGGCTTTCAGTGAAAGCAAAGCAGTCGCTCTCCGGAGTGCCATCATGTCCTCGCACGCAGAACAGGATCTTGTAAATGGGGTAGTTGGCTATTTCTGTGTTGGTCGGAGGTTCCAACAACCTGTTGGTTGAAAACAAAAGATGGAAGGAGAATAAGGGAAATGGGCACACTAGCCACAGAGAGAGGTGCGATCTTTCATCAATTAAGTGGTTTATTTATCCTAATACAAGTGTTATAAGCTAGACAGGCACCATGATAAGATAAGAGTGATTTAAAAGCAATTTAGTTTTAATCAGTGCTTTAAAAGCCTGCCAACGGCACGAAACACCAGTCCTGAAAGAGGCCTTCTCCCTCCAATTTGTGGGAAACGGAAGCAGAGGCAGAAAGCGGCACTGACTCGGGGGATCATCGCCTTGAAAACCCATGACAGACTGTGGTGGTATCACGGGGGGCCCCCACGCTATGGGAGCCGGAAGGCACCGCTGAGGTTCCCTGGCATCCTGTGCTGCTTGAGGAACCACTTCCTATACTGCAGCCGGACGGATCCAACCTCCCCCACCGCCCCCCGCCTCTGCGGACAGGCACCTCACAGTCCCCTCGGACACGTTCGGCACCGAAAGTGTCACATCCACGGAAATCTGGCACTGGCTTCGCAGGATGGCCATCATCCGCAGGGCTTCCACCTCGCTCCTGGGGGCGTTGACCGAGGCGCAGCCCAGGTAGGTCAGCTTGTTGAAGACGACGCTGTCCTCATCAGCCACCGGAGTGAAAGGGCTCGACTGCTCAGAATCTGCAAGGCCGGAGTGGGCAACTCTCAGATCGCAGGCCATGAGGAAATAGGGAAGGGCACCATGGAAGGTGCGCATGCATACACACACACACGCGCGCGCCAAGTACCAGCCCTCCCAATCGTGGTGCCCCCAGAACCATGCACACATGCAGACATACAATTTAACCATACATAAATGTCCATTAACGAGTACGTCGGTTAATTTAGGCAACGCGGATATGGTCACGTGGACCCTTTACCACACACACTGAGGCAAAGGAGGGTTTTCCATATAGGCACAGAACTCGCTTAACGTTCTCTGGCACACCCACTCCTTGACGCGCAGAGCTCTGCATTTGCGCCATCATGTAGCACAGACCCGGCGCATCTCTCGACGAGGCCAACCAACGCTTAACACCAGACCGCAGCCCACTGCCTGAGACATTCCCAGTGAAGCCGGCAGCCAGGCTCCTGGGCAGACAACTCCACGGTCTGGGGGCCACGGGGGGAAAGCCCCAAGGGCGGCGACACCAGAAAGGCCGGTTCATCAGCGGATCAGTGCCGACACTCGACCGACCGGTGGCTCTTGGCAGGCTGACGCTCGTCGGCAACGCCGGTGGCTGTGCGAGGCCGCGATGGCGGTGCCCGGCTGGCAACCTCTCGGCAGAAGCCTCCGAGAGCTGCTCCTGCCTCACCTCCCACCCGCCCCCGGCACGCACGCCGAGGCCGTCTCACCTCCCCGTGCTGGCTTCACCGGAAGGCTCATTTCGGGTTTCTGAGGGCCCGCCACGGACACGGGGTTAATGGTGGAGGATGCGGAGGCCTCCAGGAGGACTGGCTCCTCCGCCTCGCCATCGTGGGGGTGATCCTCCTCCTCCTCCTCCTCCTCGTGACCCCGGTCAAGCGAGGGGTCTTCTAGCGGAGGATCCATCAGGACGTCCTCGAGCTCCTTCTGCAGCTGCTGCTCGCTCCCATTCCCTACAATCTGCGGAAACAGAGAGCCCCAGTTCAGCGACACGAAGGCAGGTCCTGACCAAGGCGCAGGCAGGCAGATGCAGACGGGGAGAGCAAGGCGCGGCCCAGGCACAGCTCCGGATCTCTTCCGGCTGCCACATTTGCAAGCAGCGCGACATCTCCGGGAGCGGCGACGCCGGATCGGCGAAGCTCACCGACAAAATGCAGAAGGAATAGTAACGCCTCCGCTCAACAGGTTTGGGCAGGAAGGGCTCGCACGGAGGGGCCGGCTCCTCCCTGTGCGGGATGACAGGAGCCACCGGCCGCATCGACTGCCCAGCAACCGCACGGGCAGGTCCCCAAGCTGAGCACGGGAGCGGCGGCCCTGGCAAGGGACCCCCACAGCACTGAGCCTCCTGCAGCCAACAAGGCAGGCGTGCTCCCCACGCTCCGGGGCTCTGCGGCTGGAGTCGGGCCTGCGCAGCCTCCCACGCCCCACGCCCGATTCCTGTACGCTCGCCAGTGTGAGGGAAGGCCTACCGACAAGTCCCCGCCTGTGTGGGTCACACCTGTGTCAAGTCACTTGAGCGCCCCAAACACCTGAATGCCAGAAACAGTGGGAGGGGCGAGGAGGAGCAGTGGGGAGGAACCCGCTCTGGGCCCTTCGCAGGCCAGCTGCATAAGGCAGGGTGAGCGGTTAGCGCGTCAAGGCCACTCGACTCTCCCTCCAGCCAAGCCATACTGGGCGTCCTTGGGCACGTCCCCCGTTCCCAGCCTCACGGGGCTGCGGGCGGAAGATAACAGGGCAACTGGCACTGGGGAGGGAGCAGAGAAAGCCACGGGTTGCCACCGGGTTCTCTGCAAGGAGGGTCGGCTTTTTAAAAATTGGTGGCTGGATGGAGTCCCTGAAGCAGCTGGTGTGAGCTTAGGTGGACCCGGGGGATGGTGGGGGCAGGAAGGCCTGGAGGAGTGTTGCCCCTGGGGTCGCAATGGGTCGGACGCGACTCCGCGACTAACAACAACTCTTTAAGTGCTGAAGTCTGAGTCATGACACAAGCCACAGAACCAGCAGCCTGTGCCCTCACAAAGAACTGCCATGCAACTACGGCGCACCACTTAAAAGAACCCCCCCCCCGGCCACGAGTCTGTGCAACACCCCACACTCCCTTGGCCCACAGCCATCTCTTCTCACAGGCCTATTTGGTCATTCACCTGCCAGCCAATTTCTGGCAAAATTGTTCTCAACCTAGTACCCTCCAGACATATGGGACAGTGCATCCCATCATCCTCAGCCAGCACTGTCACGCTTGCTGGAGGCAACGGGCGTTGCAGTGTGGTATATTCAAACAGCAGTTTAATTCTCCTTCGAAGCAGCAGGGCAAACAGTGGGGAAGCCGAGTCAACGTGGAGGCGAACGGAAGCAGCAGGCGTGGGCTCGACATCTACCCCATTCATCTCCTTTTCTGGGGCAGGAAGTATTGCCCAGGCACCTAAGAGAGAAGCTGGGGACTCCTAGCTTGCTGGGTCAAAGATCCCTGGACCAGATTATCGGGCGATCTGTTCCCATTAGCAGCCTCTCTGTGCAGGCGCGAGGAGTAGCCCCGACTGCCCGAGATCCAGTCCAGCCAGTTGAGCTGATGGGAGATGCTGCTCCCGCCCTGTAATTTGCAGCTGCAGAGAACCCACCTTCGGATAAGGCCTGCCACCCAGAGTTAGTCGCCGACAGCCTCTCCAGGTAGAAGAGATGACAGATGTCATCTCCCAGACGACGATGACGGAGCTGCTGTCAGCTGGAGAAGGCAACCCTGACCTGGATGGCCCAGGCCCGTGGCGTGACGGCTTCAGAGCACTGCTACGCTTCTTCTCAAGTATCTGAAGCGCAGTCCTTTGTCTGTTTAGACAGAGAAAAGGCCCACACCTTCCAGCATGCCCCGGGAGCAGTAGGACTGCTTGGCCAGGCTGGAAGCTGTGGGCCTTTTCTCTGTCCCAGCACTTGTGGTCTTCAAGCTCTGTTCTCAGGGGCAGCTTCAGATGTGCATGCATCCATTTGATTTTAACCCCACCTTTCTACCACGAAAAATAAGCTTGTGATAAGCTACAACCATAGACAAATAGAACCTAGCTAAATGGATTAAAAGAGCTAGCAGAACATTCAAACGTGGTTAAAAACAAAACAGGATAAAAACAGCACTCCACACAAAAGACCCGGCTACTCACCGCAGGCTCGTTTAATTAAAATGTGTGGGCCTACCAATGGAACAGCAGGCAAGAGAAAGCCAACCTGGCGTTCCGCAGCTTGGACGCAGCCCCAAAAGGCCCTCTCTTACACTGCTACCAAACACGCTTCTGGGGCAGCGGTGGGGAGCCATGCTGCAGGCAGACCTCAGAAAAGTTTCCGCATGCCTGTGTTCACAGTCTGGAAGTGGCTGCCGCAGTCCCTTCATCTTGGCAGCACCACTTCCCTGGCCTCCTCACAGGAAGCCATAACCGTCAAGGCAGCGTCTGTCTGTCCCATGGACATAGCTGCACAGAAGCGCTTCCCAGCTCCACAACTCTGAGAAGGTGAAACATGCGTGTGAATCACGGCTCCCACGCCAAGGGGAAGCTTTGGCTAATACCAGAGGCAACCTGAGTCAGAGCAACTGCTGAATGACTGGGACGTCCAGTCCAGACCAAGTCCAGCTATCTCTGGCCAGGAACGCCAATCCGCCCTCCCTGGCAGATGCAGTGGGGAGGAAAATGGCAGCTGGCATCTGACAGGAGTCCCTCCCTGCTCTGCCCAGCTTCTCTCTCTATGCGGTAAGAGATTTATTTCCAACCAAAACAGAATGAGTGTTTCTTTTCGAGAAAGATTCCTCCTTGATGGAGGGAAGAGCCCAGCACAGAGCAGGTGGCCCCACAGGTGCCTGTCATTTACTTCTCCCCCAGCACTCCCGCAACGTGCTCGACCTCCCTTGAATCATCCAAAACACGGCAAGCACCAAACAGGGCCAAGACTGGGAGGAGGAAGTGGCTCGCGGCGATTTGCATGGTGCAGAGATCGTGTCTAACCTTGGCCCTGTCACCCGCCAGGGCTTAAGGCACCACGGGAAGAAGCAAGCAAGCAAGCAAGCAAACAAAACCGATGTGCGAGGAGTTCCAGACCAGAATTTCATTAGGTAAGTGCCGTGACCTAGAATGGCTTTTGAAGAGGCTGCTAGAAAGCGGAGCCGAGCCAAGCTCTTATTTCTTCAGCGGAGAACACAATACCTCCTGGAAAGAGTCTGTTATTCGGAATCCAGAGGAAATACAAATTAATCGGAGAAACAGGAAACATCTGGGCAAGCGGCTAGAGAAGTTCTGTCAGTGTTTACACCAAGCTCAACGGTGCCATGTTTCCCCACAGACCACTCCGTCCTGGCATGTCAGCCCAAAGCCTTTGCACCAAATCAGAGAAGCCGCAAGCTCATGCCAATCTGGCAGCGCAATCCGTCAGCCAGGGGTTCGCCGCAGCCCGAACAGCAGCTGACCAACAAGCAAGGCTTCCCGGGCACTCAGGGCCTCGGCCGTCTAGGCAGCGCGCCCCTCACACGCCTCACCCCTGGTTCTCCTGCCTGCAGTAAAGGAAAGGGCCTGGAGGAGAAGCCAGGCCATGCGGCCAAATCTGGAAGACGGAATCACTAGATTGGGAGTGAGTAACAGGGGGAGGAGAATGATGTACGCCACTTTGCGCTCTTTAGAAGAAAAAAGGTGGGATATAAATCTAAGAAATAAATAAATAACTTTGAGAAGGCAGAGGCCGGTGTAAGCAGGTAGCTGATAACAATGGAAACAGGGTAGTAATTCTACAACATACCGAGAGGAGAGGTACTCCTCTCTCTCCAGCCCCCACCTCCCTTCGGTCAAGTGCTGCTGACATGGGCTGATGTCAGGCTCTTACCTTCAGTCCTGTCTTTTCATCATCACTGCCATTATTGGTAGACGGCGTTTCATCCCCTTGCCTGGAAATCAAGACAAAATCTTCGCTGTTAAGAGTAGATACCGAGTCTGAAGAGACACTGATTTTTCCAACAGAGGCTTTGTCATCCATGACTTATAAAAAGGAAAGCTTGACTCATGAATGGGCTTGGGTTATAAGTGCCTGAAAAACAAAACAAAACAATTAAACATAAAATAAATAATAAAGGTAGGTGTGTATTTCTTGATCATCATGCTGCTCCCCAAAAGCCGCGTCTTCTGCAGTGCTTCTGGATTCCTCGCTGCGTAACGGCAGGGGAGCACCGCAGGAACAGCTTGGGCCGGCAGCAAAGACGGGGCTTTACAGCTCCAGACCCAGGCTGGCAACCCTTCTCCTGGAAAGTCAGACCAGAGGTTGCAGCCCAAGCCTTTGCAGGTTCCTAGCAGCAGCAGAAAGCCATGCTAGATCAGACTGCCACCGAGGCCTCTTTCTCCGCACCACTAGCACGGCCACGAGGGGATGCAACTTCCCGTGGGACAGTGGCCGAGCTCCACCCACAGGTGTGAACCCCTTGAGCTTGAAGTGAACCTCAGCTCAGGGCAGCTTCCAATTGGCATGGCTGCCCAGGAATGTTGGGAACTGTAGTCCAACGCATCGGGTTAGAGAAGACTGCACTAATTTAATTTAGCAGATAAAAAAAGGAAACAGCATGAAACAATGACAACCACACATGCATTTCAACAGAGCATGGCTCTTTTCCATTCAGGTTGTCGGGGTACCTTTCACGATGCTGAAAATTAAGCCGTCACTATATAGGCATTTATATATTCCAGTAACATAAATGTATTCTCTCACATCTTGGATAAGGTAATCACCTAAAACGTATTAATTACAACATGGACACAGCCAGGCCTTGCAGCCAACAGCCGTTCTTTATCATTAGCAAACTTATAAAATGAAAAACTTCCCACAAATCAACTGAAGCTTTGAAAACATGATGTGTTTCGGACGTTTTTTTGCTCTATACCACTCCCAAAGGCTACCCTCAAGCAAGCTAAGTACTTCCAAGAAAATGGCTGAAAGACTGGACTTTAGCATCTAACCAGAGCATACAGGAGTCCTGTTTACTTTGTAATGCACTGGTGAGCACAGGTAGACAACTGCCTTTTCTTCGCACACGGTAATCCAACTGGGAGGGAAAGGAAGCGCTTCGGCAGCAGGTGGAAGTCTATGCTGACAGAACAGAAGCTTCACTTGTGTGTGCCTGCAGATGTACGTAAGGGACAGAAGCGTAGAGGAGTCCTGTAACTAGAATATCAATATCTGGCAAGCTGAATTTATTTTTGTTCTCCGTTGCTCTCGCCTTGCATGGAGGGAGCTGGAAGCCACACTGAGCACTTCTGGGAGCGCTTGTTCTCCCTCCGTGATAAGATCAGAGCTGCAACTAATCCAAGCCAAGAGCTAAATCAACAAGTTGCACATGAAGGTAGTTTCCAAAGGCTGACTTGAGTTTGAGGCTAGGTCAACATGCTCCTCCCTGGGATGGTGCAGCACACTCAAACAGCTCCACCCAGAAGGAGGGGGAAACCGTTCTCTGGAAACATTTCCCCTGTTAGCTTGAAAGAAAATCAGCTCGCAAAGTGGCCTGTGTAAAGGCAGGTCCAGGGTTCCCACCTTGCTAACGTAGTCTGGTATCACCAAATTATTCTTACGCTCTTTGAGATGTGGAATTCCACTGGAGCCTATCAAGACCCACGCAGTGCCAGATGACGTACGGCAAACGGGCGGCAGAAGTTGCCGGACGAGTCTATGGACTCCACCCTCCCCACAGGTCCTCGCTCTTCAGGTTTTTCCATTCCTCTCCCCTCACCTCAGCTGTTCTAATTCTAGTATCCAGGGAAAGGAGGAGCAAAAGCGAGCATCACACATGCCTAAAACTAACAGGCTGACACAGCCTCTTCTCCAACAAGAGCCCTCTGCTGAATCAAACAGAACACTCGTACCTGTAGCTTTTTTCTCTAACGCTATTAGAAATATGATCACTGACCCAGCGGACTACAGCCAACCTGGGCTGTATACGAAGCAGAGCAGTAACTGACACTTTGTTAGATTTTGCCTGAGTGAGAAACTGCAGGTGGGTGCAGCAGAAAAGAAAAGACAAGGTTCTTTTCAGGGCTGCCCGCCCGATTCGGCTCATAAACAAACATTTCTTGCGGGAAGCATGAGGATCCACCACTCAGTCCAAGCACCCAGGAAAACGCGAGCTCAGCTTAATACGCGTGCTGCAAAACAAGCGCTGAAAACCCATCCAGGAGGACACGATGCTCTGTTTCAATACCTTGCATAAATGTTAACCGGACTGGGCTAGGCTGCCATTGCTGTAATCCCCGTGGTTTATTTAGGGAGTTCCGTCAAGGTACAAGGTGTTTTTACCAAGTGCCTACCCTCAGGAACTCACAACCTCAAGTACAAAACAGGAGAGGACAGCAAAACCGAGGCAAGAATGAATGGCAGAAGAGCGCATGTTCTGGATGACTGCGAGGACTTAGGCTGGTCCCAGCAGGAGATGGAAAGCATCAAGCCCTAGAAGGACAATGGCGAGAGATAACACAATAATCTGCAGACAGCTTCCACAAGGCTGGTTCACTGGGCTCTGCTCCAGACACAGGCCTCAACCGCCAAGATGGGAGGCCCTTTGGCTCCCATATGTGGGAAGGTGGCACTTTTCCAACTCCCGGCTTCTGTGATTAGGGATTCAAAGTGAGAGCATTTACCAGCCCAGCACTGGCATCCTGATGACTGTTTCAAAACATTAATGCCAGCGTTTAATTGGACGCACATAGCTGCTAAAGGCTGCCTGGGGCTGGAAGAGGAAAGCAGAAACATTCTCTGGATGCCATTTGCTTTCTGCATGGTCCACAAGCCACCAAGTGTGGAAAAGGGGAAAAGGGGAAGATCCCCATGGTCCAAGCAGGTCCCTCCTATGCACGCCCGCCAGACTCAGAGGGCCAGCAGGGTCCAAACAATTATCAGCAGTCTGACCACTGGCAGACCCTTCTGCTGCATGAACTTCAAAGAGCGTTCAGCTCAAGACTTGCCAGGAGAAAGGATAGATTCAGGACAGATCTCCTGAATCATATACTCATATATATATTTAACACCATCAATAGATTCATTCAATAATAGCAAGTCCACGACTAAAGCACCACATTTTTTTAAAAAGACCCCCCTTCTCATTTTTGTTTGTGCAACTTCATTTTGCAAGTTCTTGGGACCATTGCATAACTGATGAAAGCATCATTTAAACATTCTAGCATTTCCTAGGTCTTTTGTTAACTAATGAAAACCACACACAAAACACACTCCCTTTGAAAGTTTTGCAATTAGAAAAAAGAAAAGGGGGGAAAAAAGAACAGAAAGTAAACACAACACATAAGGCCGAAGCTGGACACTGAAATCAACAGCATTCAAAATGCTTCCGTCTGGCTTGAATGCAGTCCATGAGCTCCACGCCTCTTTTCCATGGATCACAACCCAGCTGCTCCCTAACCCAACACAATGCCCATTCTTAGCTACGCAGGGCTGCTGCAAGGGGGAGCACAAAGGGAGGTTACCTGCCTGGTGCTCGAGCTGAACACACACAAACACACTCCCTTTCATCCAAAAAATGGCAGCCACGTAGTGGCAACCATGACAATGGCCATTCAACAAGGCCTACGCAGCTAACGACTCTGTGGTTGCGGCAGCAGCTAGCAGAGTGCTGGGGTGTCGACTCCTGGCCCTTTTTCTACTTTCCGTTTTTCTTAGCACTCTCCACATATGCAAAATGAATTATTCCCTTCACCAGCTCCTCCTCCCTTTCTGCAATACTCTGACCAAGTCAGAACCAACTGTGTGAGCGTTGCGCTTGCTCCATCAGCTCTGGAGGAGCAACGGACGCTCGCTGCTTTGCCATTTCCACTCGCGCAGCAAGGTGCCTGGCTTGCAAGGGGCACATGGATTTGATATGCTGCAGTGAAATGTGCATTTTCTGCAAGAAATACAAGCCGACCACTGCTTCAGAAGCAACCAGCATACCAGTACTCTGCAGCAGCCCTCCTCAACTGGGATCTCCCTGCATGGGGTGGACAGCTATTCCTGGAATAGCCCAGCCAGCTATGGGACCTTGCAAATGAAGATCTGTTGTAATAATCTGTGGTTTCAATCCCTCCACACTGTCAATGCCCTAAACAATTGTGCCATGCAATAGTGGGTCATGGAACAAAAGGGGAAGCAACTCGGATTTGCTCTGACATGGAAATGTTATCAAACCAGTTGGAAACAGTGCCCACAGCACCACAAAATTTTACATTTAGATAGAAAGTGGCCAAAGAAGTCCAGCCCAGACACACTGGACTTCGAAGAGGAAACATCTTTAAAATGAGGTAACCACTTAAAGGGGGAGTCGAAGGGATTAAATCGCTTCAAATTGCTTGGAGGTAACCCCAAACCACCAAACTAGAAGCTCAGCTAAAACGCATACACAAGTAAGAAAGGAAAGGCAGCACCAAACCCAGGAGGGCACCAACAGGCACAACAAGAACCATCACAGAATCTATTAGACAAGAGAAGTCTTCCTTCAAAAAAAATCAAAGTCTTGCCCAAATGAGGAAAACAAAAGGAAACATGAACTTGCAACAAAGGAGTTACAAGCAGACAAAAAGTGATGCACAGAAGCATTCGAAGGCACATACCACTAACAGGGTAACAATAAAGAATTATTTAAATCTGTCAGAGAAAGGAACTAGTTAGGGAGGCAGTCAAGCCAACAATACAGGTACACGTATTAAAGAAAAATAAGGGGACTGCCGAAAAGCTGAATGGATTCTTTCAACCCATCTTAATTGCAGAAGTTACAGATATCTGGACCGGAACTGATATTTTCATAAAGGGAGTCTTAAAAAATGAGGCAATTAGTGGTCACAACGGAGGAAGTTCTCAGCCTTTTAGACAAATTAGACGAGGCCGGGTGTAAGCCATAACAGAGTTCTTAAAGAACTGAAAATGTGAAATTGTCAATCTTCTGAGAAAAATACAGAACCTATCCCTAAGATCAGTCTCTGCACTGAAGCAACAACTTTTCTCAAAAAGCAAATTCATAAGCATTTAGGAGGACAAGCCCTGCTAAGAAAGACACAACATAGCTTCCACGAAATGAGGTCCTTTTACAATCCTTAGTGGCAACAAACACCTGGACTAGTTTGATCCAGTAGACAGTGTTTACGTGGAATTCCAAAAGGCTGTTAGCAAAGTCTCTCGCCAGGCACTGCTGAGTAAGCGTAATACGCATGGGATAAGAGGTACAGTTTTCTTTTAGACGCATTGGGGAAAGCAGAAAATAGGAACACATGGCAACTTATCCAAGAGGAGGAATATAAACAGAGGAGTTCGTCATATCGCTCTATTAGGACTAATACTTTCCCACTGATACATAAATGATCTAGAATTAAAGAGTGTGCAGAGAAGTGGCTGAATGTGCTAATGACACTAAATTATTTAGGGTGAACGAAACAAGAATGGACTGAGGGACGTGCCAAAAGGATCTCTCCAAACTGGGAAAATGAACATCAAAAGGCAAAAGCAGCTCATTGTAAGCCAATGTACAGTTATGCACACCAGGACAAAAGATCCCATCTTCAAGAATTAGCTGATGGACACTGATATAGCAGTCACTGAACAAGAAAGAAGCCCTTGGGACGGTGGTGCACATCTCAATGAAAGTGTCAAGCCACTTTTTTTCAGCTGGAAAAAAAGGCAAATTCCAAACTGGGAATGATTAAGAAAGGAACTGAAAATAAAACTCCTTATACAGTATGAATACCATAGCTATAATACTAATACATATTGTGAATACTCTGCACAGTTTTGTTCATTTCCGCTAAAAAAGTATATTGCTGCATTGAAAAGCAGTATATGAAAGGGCAAGCACTATAATCAGAAGAGATAAAGTTCCATCAGCAATGGCTGTTTAGCTTAGAATAAAGCAAGAATAGGAGACATAATGGCAGTTTACAAAATTGTGCACTGTACAAGGAAAGTGAATAGTGTGATATTTTTCAGACTATGTACTAAAACCAAATGTGGTCATTCCATGAAGCTATATGGTGGGAGGTACAAAACAGTAAAACAGATGTACCTCACACAGCGCATGGTTATATTACAGAACCCCTTGCTGCAAGAGGCCATGATGGCCGGCAATCTGGATGGCTGTAAACGGGGAATGGACAATTGATGGGGGAGAAGGACATCCATGGCTATTAGTTCTGATGACAACATGCTAGTTGCAGGATTAGAGCAAGGATACCTAAGTCTCCCAGCTTCTGCAGCCACGTCCTGCATCTGGGTGTCCTGCGGGCAGATGTGTGAACAGAATTCTGGGCTACTTGGAGCTCAGCCTAATCCAGCAGGGCTCTTCCTCTGCTTTTATGTAAACCACTTCGGGTTCTTCGAAAGAATTAAAAGGTGGGATATAAATTATTATTAACGATAATGGATGATCCGGTGGTGTTTCTTCAATTACTATTTTTACAATTACAATCCCCTATTTTTCTCACGGCTGACTTCCACCGCGGACCCAACCAACAGCACTGGAAGAACCGGGCCAGCTGAGATGCAAGAAGGGGTGCCGAAGAAACCGGCGGCGGCGGCATTCGGAGCGGCGCCGTAGCGAGAACGCTGCGCCGGGGCGCGGGGACCGGGCTGCTGGCCCCCGCCCCGCCTCGGCCACGAAGCGCCCGGGTGCCTCGGGGCCAGTTACTCACGCTCGGCCGACCCCACCTCGCAGGCCCCTTGTGCGAGAAAATGGAGCGGCGGAGAAAGCCGCTTGGGCGAGCCGGCGCGGGCCCCTCGCAGGAAAAGGGGCAGGGCCCGCGTGCAGCCGAGGCCCGCCGGGGGCCGGGGACCGAAGCCGCGACGCCCGCGCCGGGAGCAGCCCGCGCCCGCCCGCCCGCCCGCCGGCCCGGCCCCGCTCGAGCAGGAACAAAAAGCAGGCCCGCCCCGGCTCGCCCTTCCCGGAGGCCCCGCCGCCGCCGCCACCGCCGCCCCTCGAGGAGCCTGGGCGGCGGGGGGCGGCTGCCTGCCGGGCCGCGACCGCCTTACCCTCCTCGGGCCAGCGCCTCCGCCCGTCCTCCGCCCCTCACCCGCGGGAGGAGGAGCAGCGGCCGCCGCCGGGCCTCCGTCAGGCCGCCCCAAGTCCTCCTCCTCCTCCTCGTCTTCTCTCTCGCAGAGCCCAGCCCCGTCACGTGACGGACCCGCCGGAGCACTTCCGGGGCGGGCCGCTCCGGCTCGCGCTTCGCCCTCGCTCCCTTAGCAACCCGTGCGGAGGGAAGCGAAGGGTAGGGAGGGAAGAAGCCGCGCCGGAAGTGGAAGGGAAGTGCTTCCGGCGGCGGCGGCGCTCCCTCTAGGCCGGCCTGCGCCGCTTCTCCTCCCCCTCCCGTCCCTCCCCCCGGCCCGCCCCGCCGCCGCAGCGCCTGGGGGAGGCGGAGAGGAGGTGAGCGCGCCCCTCGCCCCCGCTCCCCACGGCGGAGTGAGCGCCCCGGCCTCCCCGTGCCTCTGCGGCGGCCTGCGGAACTCGCGGCTACGAGGCCGGCCCCCTCAGCCGCCCTCCATCCCCGCGCCGCAGAGAGGAAGGGCCGGGCCGGGCCGGGGGAGGGGGCGAGCGGTAGGCGCCCACGGGGCCGAGGAGAGGAAGGGCCCTGCGGAGGGGAGGGGAGGGGAGGGGAGGGGGCGGCTGCCCAGAAGCAGGGAGCGACAGGGCGTGCAGCGTGAGAGACGGCGGGCTTATGAGGGAGAGAGCGGAGTGGGGCTGGAAAGGGAAAGGAAGGGGCTTGTCAGGAGGAGCGAGAGAGTGGCGAGGGGGCTGGGAAGGCTGCGGACAGCGGGCGGGAAGGGCCCCCAGGGCCAGGATGTGCCCGCCGTTTTCAAAGGCTCGGGGAGGTGGAGACAGTTTGGTCCAGATGTGGGAGGGGCAGCCGGAGTGCGGGTAGTGAGTTCGCATTTTCCACTGTAGTTAGATCACGGGACTGTGGAGATTCCCTGAGCAACGGGCCTCCCTGGGAGATGCCAGAGTGGGATGGTTCCCCATAGAGAGTCTAGTACGCCTCCAAGGAGTACGAGGGGCTGCTGGTGGGAGAAGCAGGGATGTCCCTTGAGAGCCGAATCAGAATAATGTGAGTCCATCCAACCCAGGCTTCTGCTTCCCATAGCCGCTAAGCTGGGTGTTGCTGCGAAGCCCACACGTGAGAACAGAGCGTTCACTAGGTCAGCCCTGCTCCCCTTGGTGCCTGCTGTTCAGCAGGGAATGCACGTGGGCCCCATGGATCCTGCATCTGACCCCACACGAGTCTTCCTTGCATCCTCTACTTCCTAACATCAGCCAGCCGGAAAGTTCACAAGGCAAAGGTGATGGCATCCATTCCCCCATTGCTTGCCCTGGCATCTGGCAAACTGCTTCTGAACGTGGAGAGTCCATTGAGCAACCATAGCTAACAGCATTGGAAATGCTTCCCCCTCCTCTTCCAGGAGATTTTGGTATATTTTGGAATTCAACTGCTGGCAGTGGTTTGGAGTCCAAAACATCTGAAGAGCTATCTTCTGCGTGTCCCTGATTTAATGGCTATGGCAGTGTGTCAGGGGAGTGAACTCAATCTGTTTCTTATGGTGCATTGCATAAGCAATAGCTGAGAGAAGCGGAGTTGCCACTGTGTTAGCCACGAAGTCCCTAGCTCAAATCCCACCTCCTGCTTGAGTTTATGAGATGGATTTAGGGAAGTGACTTGTGCCATGGAGGGAATAATCCTGGCATTTAGCAGGCCCACTGAAATGAGATTTCCAAATGGGGGTGTTGGTCAGAAACCAGAAGATTTAGGCTTCTCTATTTGTTCTGAATCTGCAAAACTGCAGACCTCTCACCGTTCACCTGAGCCTAAGCGCCACTGAGTGCAGGAACCCAGCTTCAAGATAGCCTTGCAGGTGACCTGATTTCTGGGGTGCCGCCTCCTGTGGAGCTTCATCCTGCTTTGCTCGCTCCATTCATTTATTCTGTCAACGAGACCGAGTGGGGTGATCTGAGCATTTTTAAACAGAACTAGAGGGAGAGGAGGATGGCAGTGTCCACATTATGATGGTGGATTCCTGTTGTGTTTCCCGTTTCTGATGCTTGCTGTTTTGGAGTTGGTCTTGCCTTGGAATTCCTTTTGTTTGTGTGAGTCACTGTGTCCATCCACCTGCTCCCTTCAGGTTGTCAACATGACTGAGAGAACTGATAGCCTCCACTTCCAGTTTGACAACTATGGTGACTCCATGCTGCAGAAAATGGACAAGCTAAGGGAAGAGAACAAGTTCTGCGATGTGACAGTCCGCATCGATGACCTTGAGGTTCACGGCCACAAGATCGTCTTTGCCGCAGGCTCCCCCTTCTTGAGAGATCAGTTCCTGCTGAATGACTCCAGGGAAGTCAAAATCTCCATCCTGCAGAGCTCAGAAGTGGGGAGGCAGCTGCTTCTGTCCTGCTACAGTGGCATCCTGGAGTTCCCCGAGATGGAGCTGGTGAACTACCTGACCGCGGCCAGCTTTCTCCAGATGAGCCACATTGTCGAGCGCTGCACACAGGCCTTGTGGAAGTTCATCAAGCCGAAGCAGCAGGTGGAAAACAAAGGGGAAGCAGAGCAGCAGACTCGCTCCTCAGAGCCCAAGGAGCTCCCAGGGGCAGGGCGGGAGGAGGAGGACAACGACGACGATGACGCCTTGCAGTCTGACTCGCCTTGCATCCAGCCCTCCGAGGACAGCATGGACATCGAGGACAGTGACATCCAGATCGTGAAGGTGGAGTCCATCGGGGAGGTGGCCGAGGTCAGGAGCAAAAAGGACCAGAGCCAGTTCATTTCCTCGGGGCAGCAGAGCACCCTCCACTCCTCTGAACCCCAGCACTCCCTGATTAACTCCACGGTGGAGAACCGAGTGGGGGACATGGAGCAGAGCCAGCTCCACAACTACGCCCTTTCCTACACGGGGGGCGACAACCTCATCGTGGCTTCCAAAGACCTGTTCAGCCCCAGCAACCGGGGGGTGGACAAGGGCCTCCAGTGGCACCACCAGTGCCCCAAGTGCACCCGCGTCTTCCGGCACCTGGAGAACTACGCCAACCACCTGAAGATGCACAAGCTCTTCATGTGCCTGCTGTGCGGCAAGACCTTCACGCAGAAGGGCAACCTCCACCGGCACATGCGGGTGCACGCCGGCATCAAGCCCTTCCAGTGCAAGATCTGCGGGAAGACCTTCTCGCAGAAGTGCTCCTTGCAGGACCACCTCAACTTGCACAGTGGGGACAAGCCCCACAAGTGCAACTACTGCGACATGGTCTTTGCGCACAAGCCCGTCCTGCGGAAGCACCTGAAGCAGCTGCACGGCAAGAACAGCTTTGACAACGCCAACGAAAGGAACGTCCAGGACATCGCGGTGGACTTTGACTCCTTCAGCTGCAGCTCGGGGCCAGACTCCAAAAGCTGCCCGCAAGCTGAGGCCAGCCAGGCGCTGGATGCAGGGAAGCTGGCGCAGGCTGTGCTCAGTTTACGAAGCGAGGGCAGCTGTGTGAACTGAAGTGGGTGTCCTGGCGCTTCTCGGCCAGCACTGGGCAGGACGCACCGCGGAAGAGCTGCTGCAGGCTTGGGCTCAGCCCTGCGCCCATGAAGCTCTGATGAACGAGCTGCAAGGCCTGAACCAAAAAATTGTAGCACGTCTTCAGTTCCCACCCTAGAGGGATGTGATGTTTTTGGTGACTCCAAGCATCTTTGCCGCGGTTGGAAAAGAACACGGTGGCTGTGAGCCTGCCCCTGCTGGTGGCACGGGCTAAATGCCCTTTTCCAAAGGCTGCTTGGGATGCGTCATTAGCTGCTTGTGGGCTCACACAAGGAACAGCTGCCCTCTATCACGGATGACTGTTTGAGCTAACAAACTAAACTAACCTGAGATCTGGGTGGGATGGGGGAAAGAAGCACTGGATAATTGTAAGCTCTCGGTATTTGGTAGTCCAGCTGGGTTTTTTTAATTTTGTACTGTTTGTTAAAAACCTTGGGTACTTGCCTTCTGCTGTTCTTAGCCTAAAGTGGCATCACCGCTAACCCTGTTTGACCCTTTGTGAGTGAAGTCCCTCCTGTCTGGGGAGTGGGGAACTGCACGGGCTACAGCTCAGTGCAGAGCCCGGTTTACACCCAGGCAGCCCCTGGATCGACCCCCAGCGGTTTCAAGCAGGGTGGGAAAAACTCCCCCCCCCCCACAAACCCTGGAGAGCTGCTCTTGCTGCCAGTCAACACTGATGAT